ATTTGGGTCCATTTAAAATTTACAAATTTATGATTTAATCAAAATCATGTTGTACATCTACTTAAATTTAGACTTCACATCCAACTAGCATGCATGCAAAACATCTAGTCAACTTATTTTCCTCTCCTCATTCTCTTTCCTATTTCTTTTCCTTTGGGGCCGTAAATTGAATTAATATTTGGTTTGCATCAGCACTTCAGCAGTAGCTTGGCTGCTGAATGGCCCGAGCCCTCAATTACATAAGGAAAAATTATAGCTGTCACCTGGCAACTCCATAATCAATTACATTGCACTGTATTTGGTTGCAATGCAAATAAATTTGTACTGATGCAAAATCATAACAATACAAATGATTTGAGTGTAAATTTTGACTTATTTTTGTTTCAAATTTTAGTTTATTTTATTTGATTATAATACAAATGAAGTAAATTAAGACTAGGATAAAGTAAAATCCAAAGCAAAATTAAATAAGAATTTGCATTTATTACATTTGCAATCCCATGCATTTGTACTATTACAAATAAAATTGCATTACAACCAAACACAGCCTTGAGAGAAAAACATTAGTTTGTCCTGTCTTTATGTGAATGGCTCTATTTATTTGTGGATTCAATCTAATTCGGATGTAAAATTTATGTCTCGTTAAGTTTTGCATGTATTTGTTTATTTGGTAAAGGGGAACCGGGGGTGGGGCAGATCGAATTTGCATTGGCGCCCCCAACAGGTGCTCCACAATCAATCCCAGCCGTGTTTTGGCGCCCCCAATATATTATGAGAGATGTTCTCAATGGGGGCTGAGATGTGCATGTGGTGCACCAATCTGAATTCGGGTAGATCAGGGAGCACTTAGGTCCACTAGCCATATCACAAATGGGATAGACAAAATTTGTGCTTTTTGTATCATCTACATTATTCTAATCAAGGTTTTTAAGACCGATTTGGAGAACGAATCAGTCAGGGGTCCGGTTCTTAGGTTGAATGGTCTGACTGTTAGAACTAAATGGTTGGCCCGTTTTGACAAAAAAATTAAAAAATTTAAAAATAAAAAACAGTCAAAACTGTTTTAATGGTTAATCGTCCGAGTCAGCAGTTTGCTGATCAAAGTTAACGGCTTTTGGCAAAAATCCGGTTTTGGGGAAAAATGGAACCGATTCCCGGTTTTTCTGATCTAACCGTCCTATTTGGTCCTGTGTTTGAAAATCATGATTCTAATGGTGCGGATTTTGCAAAAAACCTGGCGAAAAATTTGCACCACTTTGCTCTCCTACTTTAATTTTTCCTATATAAAATAGAATCACTCGCATTCCTATATGATGTGGCGTAATCTGGCTGCTCCCTACTGGAGACGATTTGGCTGTCAGCAACGACGAGAACTGGGGTAACCTACAAGAGAGGAGTCAGAGATCCCGGGGTGGCTTACCTAGCGGGGACACTCCGATGGCTAAGTTAGAACATAGTAGCAGTAGTAGAGAGCTTGAAGATGATATTAGTGAGTTTGATAGCTAGAGAGCAAAGATTACGCACACAAAAACATCATACCTTCGCCCCTGGGGGGTGAAGTCTTTATATACTGGAGTCCCCATGGGTTGGTGGAGCGGTTCCTGGATCCTCGTTGTGATGGGATCCGCTTAAGTGTTAGGTGGGTAAAATGCACCAATCGGTAAAATTGCCCTCTCCCGTCTGAACCGGGGAGTGGGTGAGCTAATATAGCCATTATAAGTCATACTCTTGTAAAATGCAGAGTACGGTGGTGAGCTCCTCGGGGTTGTAACGCGGAAGTCGGCCTGACTAGGTAGCGAGCTGCTTGTAAGGTGTCAGGCTACCTGGTGGCGAGCTTCTTGAGCTCGTGCTCTTTAGATCTGATCTGATATGAATACCGAAGTGCCTTGGAACCGAGGTGGTCCTAGTGCGACCTTGCACCGAGGTATACTCATCCCGAGGTAGTCTTGACCGAGGTGGTTCATCTTGTTCAGGTTTGATCAGTAGCGGGCTTGATATCGTTATCTTGGTCGTGATCTGGTACTGAGACGATCTTAGTTCGAGATATTCTTAGTTCGGGGTATCAGGGTACCTGGGGTCACTTTGTAGCCAACTGATCGCGCTGAGCTATCACTTGTGTCAAGTCACGTCCACGTGCCGATCCGATCATGTTGAGTTGTCACGTATGCCGAGTCACGCCCACGTGTCTCCCTGTTACGAGGTCAGGCCAAATTCCCCTCCATCAATTGCTCCCCACTCCTCAAGCTAGGGGTCTTGACCTGGTTTAAGGAGTTCACGATGTGACAAGTGGATTTGGCTCAGAGTCCAGGCCACTCTGCCAGATAGGTCGTGTGCGGTTCACATGCGGATGCCAAAAAACGCGCTAAATTGTTTTCGACCTCGAGCGTCGTGCAATCGGTTTTCTTAGGAGCCATTGGATTGCTTTGGTCTCGACCGTTGTTTCTCCAGTACAGTGGCTATAAATAGGGGGTCCCGAGACTCATTTTCTTCGCCACAAGCTTACTAGCATTCGATCTGAGGTTGCGCTTTAGCTTCTTTAGCTCAGGTTTTCTAGTTCGCCACTTCCTTCCAATTCGATCGCCCTTCTTTGGTGAGTCTTCCTTAGCTTCTTTTCAGTTTAGTTCAATTTCTTAGCTTTTCCTTTTAGTTCGGTTGTCAATGTCTTCCTTTAGCTTTGACAACCTTTTAGATGAGGCCGAGGAGGGTACCTCGGCCCGGGTCAATAGCCGAGACGAGGCTATTTCGAGTCAAGGGGCAGTCCGGGACCTTCCCGAGGCGCAATCACCCCGGGATACGCGGGAGGCTTCGAGCAACCCAGTATCCACTTCTTATCAAGTTCGGGTGCCGGATCACTTTGGCCCCTCCATCATGACTGTGGATAGGCTTCGGGCCTTAGTTCATCGGTACAACCTCCCGGGCGAGCTCTCCTATAGTCTCCCCGCAGGTAACTTCCCTTGGGAACACGATCATAATTTTTTAAGAACAACTTGTGGCTGGTCTTCGTTTACCTTTACATCCCTTGATTATAGAGGTCTTGAAGTTTTTTAACATCACCATAAATCAGTTACACCCGAATTCTATCCGAAATGTAGTAGGAACCCTTTCTCTTTTTTACGAGTACTGTCTACCCCTTGACCTTGACATTTTTTCTTCCATCTTGTCTATCAAGAAGAACTCTTCTTGTGTCCTCCCAAGCATAGGCAGACCTACTACCTGTCTCCTCACCCGAGCTATAAGCTTTTGCACGAACTTCCCAATAGGATCCCGGCCTGGAAACGAAGTTACTTCGTGGTCCGTAATCCCGCGGGGTGGCCGTTCCCTACTCATTGGAGAGTTGCCATTCAGGACTCCGTTGTTAGACTGGACCTGAAGACAAGGGAGACACTCTAGTCTTGGGTGGAGCTCAGTTTCCATTGTAATGACTACCTTGCCAAAGATAAGCTCGTGTAGGCCGACTTGAGTCCTAGTAGGTCGCCTTGGGTTTGATCTTGAGCTTGAGGTTTTTGAAATGGAGATAAATGGCTTTTAGTAACGATTTCCCATAGACGGCGCCAAATGATGTGGCGTAATCCGGCTGCTCCCTGCTGGAGACGATCTGACTGCCAACAACAACGAGAACTAGGGTAACCTGCAAGAGAGGAGTCAGAGATCCCGGGGTGGCTTACCCGGCGGGGACACTCCGATGGCTAAGTTAGCACACAGTAGCAGTAGTAGAGAGTTTGAAGATGATAATAGTCAGTTTGAGAGCTAGAGAGCAAAGATTACACACACAAAAATATCATACCTTTGCCCCTGGGGGGGGATGAAGTCTTTATATACTGGAGTCCCCATTGGTTGGTGGAGCGGTTCCTGGATCCTCGCTGTGATGGGATCTGCTTGCGTGTTAGGTGGGTAAAATGCCACCAACCGGTAAGATTGCCCGCTCCCGTCTGAACCGGGGAGTGGGTGAGCTAATATAGCCGTTATAAGTCATAATCTCGTAAAATGCGAAGTACGGTGGTGAGCTCCTCGGGGTTGTAACGCGGAAGTCGGCCTGACTAGGTAGCGAGCTGCCTGTAAGGTGTCGGGCTGCCTGGTGGCGAGCTTCCTGAGCTTGTTCTCTTTAGATTTGATCTAATATGAATACCGAAGTGCCTTGGGACCGAGGTGGTCCTGGTGCGACCTTGTGCCGAGGTACACTCGTCCCGAGGTGGTTCATCTTGTTCAGGTTCGATTTGTAGCGGGCTTGATATCGTTATCCTGGTTGCGATCTGGTACTGAGACGATCTTAGTTCAGGGTATCAGGGTACCCGGGGTCGCTTTGTAGCGAACTGATCGCGTTGAGCTGTCACTTGTGTCAAGTCATGTCCACGTACCGATCTGATCATGTTGAGTTGTCACGTATGCTGAGTCACGCTCACGTGTCTCCCTGTTACGAGGTCGGGTCAAATTCCCCTATTTGCATGCCATTAACTCCCATTTCCCCTATTTGCATCTCAAACAAAGAAAACAAAGTAAGTTATCGAAAAGAGATAAAAAAAAGGGTAAAACTTAAAGAAAAATGAACCAAAATTTCCATTTCCACGCATTTGCACCACTATAAATTTCATTTACACTAAAAAGACAGGAAACCAAGGACAAGATGCAACACCCAATAAAGCCACAACCAACCTTCTCTCTATTATTTGTAGATAAAAACATGTTAATTCCCTTGAATTGCATTTCCCCGAATATCGGTAGCAGCACTATTACTTAGCCATGAATGTGCTCAGGCCAACTTACAGGAGTCTTTTAGTGGGAAAATAGAGAAATGAAAAGCTAGAGATGTCTGCTAACAAATTAAACCATATAATTCAAATCATTTTATTGGAAAGGAGCCTCCACTGCATGATTTCTACAGCTTTCTTTCAAACACGGATAGAATGAAAGAATAGAAAGAAGGAAAAAAAAAAAAAGATTCAATTGAAGGATAAAAAACGCATGATTAAAATATTTACAGTAGTACTACTAATTAATTCCCTTCAATAGGCAGCTAATTGACGAGAAGCTAAGAGAGACTTGTAGATTTCTAAAACCAGCCTCATCTCAAATTCTTCATTCGAAGAAACTGTTTTCACCTCCCGAGCCTTTGGAATTCTCTTGCTTCCAAAGATGCTATTATTGTTCAGGTACCCAACGTTGCCAGCCAACTTGAGCATCATATCCATATAAGCTTCTCTCAGCCTTACCAAAATCTTGGCTGGCGAACAAATCTTCAGTCGCAACTTTGGTATCGCCCTTATCTTCCAAACCCTCCTAGCGTTCCCTCCGAACCTCACGATTTTCATGTTCTTCCTGCCGGTGACCGTTCCGTCGAGTCGTTGGTATCTTCTTCTCCTCATATACCTCTTCAAGCTCCCGTAAAATGGCACAGAAAAGATCTCCATCTCCTTCTCTTTGTGATTTTTGTTCTGGTTCAGAGAGAGAGATGATAGTGAAACTTTGGATTAGCAAGAGATGGGGTATCAGGTATATGGGTGTGGATAGAAGATGAGTGAAGAAAAGATCAGAGAGTCCGTTTAAATGGGTCTGGTCTATGACTTTCATATATAAGAGTTTATACTTTATACTATAGGTGTCATATTAGAAAATTTACATATAAAATATAGCAAAATAATATGTATGCATGTTATATAAATATGTGGAACTGAGCCCGGGCCAAATCTAAACACAAAACCTAGGCTCAAGCCCAATATTTCTTGACCAGGCTGAAAATGATCACCCCTGCCACCAGGTAAGCTGACTGATTCAAACCAAGATCTGAACCTCCTATAGCTCGCAGTATTGTATAATACATTTTGGAACCCGGCTAAGCCTACATTTGGCATTCCTTATTTTAAGGACTTATCTCCTGTTTGTAGTTAAAAATTCATTGTTCATAGGAACTTTTTAACTGCAAAAAGTAGATAAGTCCTTAAAATAAGAAATGCCAAATACAGCCTGAGGTTGAACTGGAAAAAAAAATAAAAAAAAGGGCCAGCTCAACACAAGACATGACTATTGGACTAACTCGAGATGACAAATTAATTTCTTATAAGTGGTCCTACTTAGTACTTAATGAAGCTGGGTTGGTTAATTCTTCGAAACAGTGTAGGGTGGTTCTAAACTTCTAATGTCAAAGAGCTTAGTGCAATGGTGGCTTGCTTGGTCATATAACCAATTTAATTGTTGGAAGCAAAAAGGATTTTGAATCTTCATTCCATGAAATTTCCACATTTAGTTCAAACTACATGAAAAATAATATTCTGAAGACAAGGATGTTTTGTTGAAGTTTCAGTTCTGGTGAAATTTAAAAACACCATTTGAATTGAAGCTGCAAGTATCCCCTTTTGATATCATGGATTTAGTCAAATGAAATGTAGTTCAGAAAATTTAGTTGAGTAAAGGTTGCGTTTGGTTAAGTATTTTTTTTTTTTTTTTCTTTTTAAAATCACGAAAGCTTCCGGGCTTTGTGCATTGGGGGTAAAAATGTTTTGGCTTCAGATTTTTATATTTTTAAATAAAACTCTTATCAAATGATCAGCGCAAAGCTCAAAAAGCATGATCTTATTCAAATAAACCCTAAGTTATTGAGAGATAATTCAATGTAAATGTAGCTACATTAATTTCTTCAAGAGATAATATGCCTTTATTATCTAATATGTTCTTTTATATGATAATTAGATAGAAAACTCAACATTACACTACTTAAGATGGAGCTCCCTTCCCAAATGCAAAAAATAGGGGATTCTGTAATCAATTCAACTTCATTTTGATTAATAGGCAAGAGAAATAGCCCAAGAAATATTAAAAAAAAAACTATATGAACCCCTTTAGGAATATTTTTTCTAAAACACTTGTATCTCCCTTTTATCACTGAAAATTCCAATCTTTCAACAGAAAATTTTCTAGAGTTTCCATTAGTTTGACGTTCAAATGTTAAAAAGGAAAAAGAAGATATCACACTTATAATTTAAACAAATATAGCAATTTGATGGAAGGGGATACTTTTCTGAATCAGTTAAGGCTCTCATCCTTTGGACAATCTATCATCTACTCCTGTGTGTCGCATTGTATGCTGTTTCCTCGTTGTTATCTTGTTAAACCTCTGACGTCAAAGCTGGGCCATCGCTTGACCTGATGGCTGAGGGCCATGGGCCATTTGATACCAGCTGATGAAGTTACTTAATTGAATGCTTATTATTTCGTATGTATTATAAATATAAATACATAGAGTGCAAAATCTTGTATTTTGTATGTATTTGTATTATACATATTCAAATTTATATTCTTTCCAAACCGAACTAAGGAAATTATAAACAATTCGTGGTTCAAATTGAAGTTGGATATATATAATAAACATGGCTGTTGAGTATTTTATCATTTGATTGTTTTATCCACTAAAAGACAAAGCAATAAGTTTCACTTACTCGCTTCAGCTGTTATCAAAAGACTGTATAAGATAACCCATTGTTATGGCCTAGACGCTTGAATAAGCAGATAATATATACGTAAGAGACTGGGTTCATATGCTTGAATCAGGTAGGTTTTAGCTTACACAAAACCCATAACTATACTATTATAAAAGTGGAATGGGAGCTTGACCGCTTTTAAGCTTTTTCTTAACTAAAGTACCCTTATTATTTTGATCCCTCTCTCTTAAGAGGGAAGAAAACATAGTTTGAATTAGGGGTGCAAATTGGATCGGATTAGATCCTATTTTGTTAAATTCGAATTTTTGGATCGAATAATAGGATCTGATCATATTTCTCTTATCTGGTCTGATATATATATAATATACACACAAACATATACATATGTTATTTATTTATTTATACATATGTTATTTATTTATTTATAAATATGTTACATATATTGCATTTTTGTAAATTTATTATATTATTTATTTTTTTATAAAAACATGTATATATAATCAAAATAGTTGAAAAGATACTTGTATTTTTGTGTTTCTTTATTTAAATTGTTATATTCTATTTTTTTTTTAATAATTTATTTATTTTTTTAGAAAATCAGATCAGATCAAATCCAAAGATCCAACGGTCTCATCGGATTCGAATTCAAATCCATGTTTGTGAGATCCAATCGGATCGGGTCTCCCCTTAACATTGTCATGTCGGATTTGGATATACCCTTATTAAAATCCAATCCGATCCGTTAGCATCCCTAGTTTGAATACATACTTTTTATTTCATCATAACCTGTTTTATTAATTCATATATTTAAGGAATTTATGTTTCTCATCATTAAATTCAACCAATTAAATCTATACCCCATATTTTTAATGCTATAAAACCAATCCGAAAAAAAAATGTTTCTTTTTTAAGTGGTGGGTTGATGCTTCAAAATATAAAATTGAATAAAAAAAGATAGAATACAAAAGTATAGAAAAATATGGGTACATCTTTAATATTATATAATTTATATAAAATAAAAATATTGTGATAAATAAGAATTATTTTTTATCAATGATGAAAAAGAAATACAAAAGAAAAAAATGATTGATATCTAACTTAAAACCTCCCTAACCTTGACTAGTTAAATGGTCCAATCAATTGGATCACTAGATCATTAACAAAATCAAAAATTTTTTAAAAGCAAGTAGTTTGAAGATGAATTCATCCTGGAGTTAGAAAAATTAGAGATATATCTCTAATATTATATATTCATCACCTTAAACATTTTTATGCTAACGATCATAAAAATTAATAATAATAATAAATACATATGTATTATTAAATATATATAATATATTATTATTATTATTTTTAATTTTGATTAATTATTTATAATAATTAATCAATCGATTATTAATTATTTATTTTTTAACTTTTAGAAAGAAATAATATCTAAAAATTTTGAAATAAAATTAATCACCGATCATTCTCTAAGGGTGAAAATGGATCGAATCATTATCCAATTTGAAATCAAATTCAATCCTATTTTGCTTGATTCCGAAACCCTTTTATCAGATTTTTTATCGGATTGGATCAAAAAATAGGATCTATTTAAAATTCAGAATCTCATATTGGATCTAGATATATATTGCATTTTTGTAATTTGATTTTTTATATTATTTATGTTATTTTGTAAAAGGATATGTAAACCCCCTTTTCTTTAAAATATATGTGAGAAAGATGGTTGAAAAAATGCTTGTGTTTTTTTCTTTGTATAGACTATTTGTTCTTTTCCTGCTATAATTATCGGATTGAGTTATATATGGATATCCACATGTCTTTTTTCCTATTATAATTAAATCGAGTCGAATCAGATTTGGATACCCACAAGTCTTTTTTCCTGTTATAATTAGATCGGGTCGAAACATATTTGGATATCCGACATCCTTAGCAAGTCTGAATTAATATTTACAAAATCTGTTGGATTGTCGGATGGGACATAAGATTTACATTATCGGATTGGATTTGGATATAGCTCAATTTGAATTTAATAGAATCTGTGTGCATCCCTATAATTAATAACTCAGTAATAATTATACATGCATTCAGACTTGAGAGTTGGGTGCAAACGAACAGGGACTTAATTAGTTTGGAACAACGAAGACCGATCCCAACCCACTCATAATTGAGAAAACCTAAACCCTTTATATAATTGGGCCAATTCGATTTGGTTCGGGTGGCCTCCCCAGAGTCCCGAAGCCCTGTTCATTAGATCTCTCTTACAACCTTTCCATTGCAGTGTTTACATGAAAAAACTACGTTGATTTGAAGTGTTCAAATCCAAAGCCCAATTAGAATGATCCACAAGACTACAACTGTGGGCCAGGCTAGGCTAAATCCGAAGTGAAAGCCCAAGTTGGTCAAACCAAGCCTAATCAAATCCGGCTAATAGCACGTGTCTCTTGTATACTACAATAGTATAATACCATCAGTCCATTAGTCCAACACTCCAACGGAACGGAGAAACACTCGTGTCTTCTCTCGGTCTTCGCCTCTTATCTCTTCTGTCGATGAATTCTAAGATACCTAACTACATCGATGGAGTTCAAATCCAAAAGACAGACGCTAAGCCCTTCTGGAGAACGAAGAAGAACAAGAAAGAGCGCGGCAAAATGCTCTTCCCTTTCACCGGACTTTTCACAGAAAGCCGCCGGAAAACGGAGGAGTCAATTCTGGGACCCGGAGGCGGAATTGGGATCGGATGCGGCGTTGGTGTGGGGTTCGGTGTAGTTGGTGGAATCGGTTATGGGGGTTGGCCTTGGAGCCATCTTCACATGGTTTTCGGGGTGGGGATGGGCTGCGGCGTTGGTGTTGGCTTTGGCTACGGTCAAGGGCTAGGATTAGGGTTTACTCTGGAGTCTCTGAAATCCTACCTCTCCACAGAAAGCCCACGTGATCCTAATAAACGGATCATCATTCAAATTTGATCTTCT